CCCCCCCCCTCTCCCAGGGAGAGCTCACTGCTCCTGCTTGTCACTGTCGGCCGGCCGTCACCGGCGGCGCGCTCCGAGCCCCTGGGCGGCAGGCAGCCCGCTCGCAGCCCGGCGGCCGGGTTGCCTACCCAGCAGTGCAGGGCGCCCAGAGCCGCAGAGGAGAGGCGCGCGCAGCTCGCGACTACAACACGACGACACTGCGGGGACTTAACGGGGGGACTGGACTCACCTCGTAAAACATGATGGCGCTGTATAAGACTTGGAAGGCGTTGTACACGACGAGGATTTTATTTAGCGCGAAGGGCTTCCTGTTGGCCATGATTGAGGGCCCGATGATGACTACCGACAGCAGGTACACGACGACCATGGCCAGGGTGGGGAACGGCGAGTCCATCAGCGGCCAGTCCGCCACTCGGGGATCTGAAGGAAGGAAGGAATGCAAATTTAGTACAGACAAGCAGGCGCCTGGGTTTTTTCGAATCCACTCTGGTAAATAAAAAAACGTAATAACAAACGTAGTCTGTCTCATTGGATTGATTACTCGGCGGAGCTTCCGGACGTAACATTTCATAACGAGTTAGCAGAGGGAATTAGATGATCGCATAGCTACGACTAAAATAGCCCCCCCCCCTTCTTTTTCTCCTCCCTCCTTCTCCGCGTCCTAGTGGACCGGATAGCGTCCGGCGTCTCGCAGAGCACGCGATTAAAGTAAATGAGATGTGTGAGGCCTGAGGCCTGTGCGGTGGCCAGCCGGCGCCCGCCGCGTCCCTGACTGTGCCCCCCCCCCCTTTCTTCTCCAACCAAACCACAGACGCAGACTTGGTCGCATTCCGCCGCTGGCTGGCTTTGGCTTGCCCTAGGTCGCGCACGCTGGAACTCCGGTTTTATCTCTTTTACTGTTGTTGTAGTTTGGCTCTCCCACTACTCCCCCCATTTCGCATACAGGCGCGTATGTGTACCTTCTCTCATCGTTGATGAATAACTGTGGGTTTGTGCGTGAACTCGAACCAGATCCCGAAACAAACACCAGGACCTTGCATGGAAAGTTGTCTGCTTTTTAAATCCGATTTTTTTTTCCGTATTCGATATGCTGACGGCCACTCCTTGCGGACCGCGCGGCGGTGAGTGGCCGGAATGACGGTAATACACGACAGCTATTATCTGTGAGTATGTATCGCGTGTGCCCTCGTCCGCCCGGCTGGTCCTTCTCTGCTTCTTGTTCCGGAAAACGGTGAACGGTGCTCTCGAGTTGAGTGGCCTGCAGTACAGTCCCGATACCCGGCGGCCACACTGTCCTTCGTCATTATACGTTACGTCTCTCAACGGACATAATTTTAAAGAAAAAAAAAGAAAAATAAATGAACTTTTGACATGCTGTAGATAACCGCGATCGTTTTCAAAAATGCTAACTTTGTATTTGTATTGTTGGAATTCTTGTGAAATTTTGTTCGAGTGGAGGGCGAGCGAGAGAGAAAGGAGCCCTCTCCTCTTTCAGAAGAAGGGGCAGTTGCCGCAGCGACCCAGACCTCCTTAGCTAATGGTCGAGCGAACCGGACCGGCCGCTGCTGGCCGCGAGGTGGTGGCGAAGGTGCTGCAAACACCTGCTGGTCCCAAACGTTGCTGCAGGAATCAATCGATACGCCTTATTTTCTTTTGAACGAAACACGAGAAAAAGCGTGCGCTTTACTGATCATTTTAGTTATTTTTTTTTATCAGAGATCCGCATCATTGAACGGCGGTGCGTCAGTTGCGATACACATTATTGCCCACACAACGGACGCAAACGGCTCCGGTTGGGCGGGAAGCGATCCTTCGCACCACCCCGGAAACGGCGCGAGAAACGATGACGAATCTACCGGAGGACTGCAAAGACGCCTCCAAGAGCGTCAGTCGAGCTGCCCAGGAAACAACAAGCCCGCTCCTCGCTCCCTCCTGGCGCCCCGCCAGCCCGCGCTGCGTCAGCCGCGTGAGCGGAATTGTAGCAACGTTTGTTCGTTTGAGAGAAATATACAAATCTTGCGATTGACCGCGCGACAGAAGGGGATGAGAGGGGAGGAGGAGACAGTACGCGTCGTGTTGCCTCGAACTAACACCATCGAGGAAATTACACACGTATAAAAAGACAAAATTATGATGGTATATGGACGTTGTGTTGTAAGCTAGTTTCGCGGTGACGGTGTCGGGTGTCATGTCGACACGAACGAACGGACAGTGCCGCGGCCGAACAGCGTGTGAGTGCGTGTGGCGGGACTGTGGAGAGTGAGAGAGTGGGAGGCTGAGAGAAGAGTGAGAGACAGAGACAAGCAAAGCAGAGCACGTCGACGTCAAGCATTCGTTATTCATCATATTTCGAAAATCTCGAAACCGTAAAAACTGCAGGCCTCGCGTGCAGGCGGGGTCGCGCAGGACCGGGTCGGAACAGCACACAAGAAACACGTGGCGCAAAATGCGTAGAAGTAGTAGCTCACCTCCGAGGGCGTCCATGATGCCGTGGTACCGGTCCTCCACCACTCTGATGATGGCCGCCATGGCGACTTATGGCAATCTGGAAAAGACGGAGAAAAACAGAAAGAGATTAAAAACTGCGGGCAGTTAAATTAAAAGAGGGGCGCCCTGCGCGGTCCGGAGACTTGAACGCCAGAGCCGGCGAGGCCGACGGAGCGGGGCTGGCCGTTGCGAGAACAATAGAGCCGTTAAGAGGCGACTAGTCGAAAGAACGGCGAAAAGAGCAGGCAGGACTGCGTATACCCTCCAGGTGGGCCCCCAGGGTCACTCGCGGGTAACGGGGGCGGAGGGTACTGGGCTGGGTACGTACCGGCGGGTAACGCGGGCGGAGGGTACTGGGCTGGGTACGTACCGGCGGG